CAAGGATTTTATGTTCTAATTATTTTATTGTTAAATTTGTTAAATTATTTTAATTGTTTTTGAAAAAGATTAATTTAAAAATATCAAAATCATTAGCTATATTATTAACTATCGATAAAAATATCTTGTTGACAAATTATTAATTAAATTTTTGTGTGTCTCTTTTTTTTTTTTTTGTAATTTTTAAAAATATTTGAATTAGAAATTTATGTTAAATTATTTATTGTCATAGTTACTTTATTGTTCTTGCATTAATTTATTGTTCTTACACTGCTTTATTGTTCCGGTTATTGTTTGAGTTAGTTTATTGTTTTAATTACTTTATTGTTCCAGTTACTTTGTTGTTCTAATTACTTTATTGTTTTTACATTACTTTATTCTCCTATCATCTTATCGTTCTAATTATTCATTGGTCTAATCACTTTATCACTCTAATTACTTTATTATCCTGATTCTTTATTGTTCTAATTATTTATTTTAATTATTTTATTGCTCTAATTATCCCTCACTATTTTAATTAATAAATTGTGAAAATATTAGCATAAATTTGCATGAATTAGATATATTTTTGTCTCTTATCAAGGATAGCAGCAATTTTTCAGGCTTTTAAAGAAAAATTTACAAAATTTAAAGTTTAAGTAATTGAATATTTTATCATCCAAAAAATTGACAGTTTGACAGTTTGACAAATTGACAATTTGGTTTAGTATGTGACAAAAACATAGGAATTGAATGTTTATTTAAATTAAAAAAAAAAAAAAGCTATATTAATTATTTGTTCTTATAAATGTAACGCAAAGTGATTTTGTAAAATTCTGAAGATAAGTTAAAAACTTTTGTTAAAATTTCTTAAATAAAGATAAAAAATTTTAAATTGAAAAAATATTTGTGTAATTTCAAGCTTATTTGTATATGTTTTTATGTGAAAAAAAAGTACTGTACAATTTGCAATCTAAAAAATCATGATAATTTTTAATTGTTTTTAATCGTGATTGTTAAATCATGATAATTTTTAATTGTTTTTAATCATGATTGTTGAATCATGGTAATTTTCAATTGTTTTTAATCATGATTGTTAAATCATGATAATTTT